AGAGCAATTCAGCTGCGGCAATCTCATACTATTAAGCTAGGCAGAAGTGAGTAGTTTTTGTCGATAGATCTCTATCTTAGTATTTTGTCGAAAGCGCTTTTTTTCACGAATTTATATATTACGAATTTATTTGACGATTTTTGATTTATATCACGAATTACACTATATCTCATTTCTAATAGGTTTAACGAATTACATGTCATTTATTTGAATTCAAATTTATCTTAATGACTTAGTAATTACTAAAAAGATGCAATTTAAAAAAAAAAAATAATTGTTATATGTATTTGAATGATTGTTTGGAATTCTTAGAATTTTGTGCATTTGCAATGTACCTAAGTTAGTAGCGAGAGAAGTGAGCTTGATTTGCAAAGCTAACCATATAAGATTGTGTAGCAATTTTCAGGGGTTGCCGAGCGTTAGCGAGCAAGGAGCGTAGCCCACTATTATGTATACAATATTTGTGTTTTGCCTCCTTTTTTTCAGCGTGTTCAACGTGTTTTTTTCATGTGAATTAATAAAGAATCTTTAGTCCATATCACATCTTTGCCCATTATAAAATGTTACATATGCATTCAAAAACAAGTCACCACTTTACAGAAATTTACACGCGACCCTCATTTTGAGTAACAATGAATGCATTAGTACAGGATTAATTTAAACAACAAAAAGTTTCAAAATTTATGTAATAATACTCACCTATAGAGAGGACTAAAACAAAATCAAAACTAATGGAATTCATTTTTCATGAAAAAAGAAACCTTCATGAAGTTGTTTTTATCTTAGATATAAATGATGTTGTTCGCATTATAAAAATTGCTCCGGATGCATTTTTGTAATAAACATTTTCCTCTACAAAGCGGTAGTAAGATGTGAAGAAATTTCCTACTTCTATTTTAGTTATTCCGAAACAATAGGAAATGACAACTTATGTTGTTCAGCTTTCTATATTTCCTTGGTTGATCAACGTTGATTGATCACGTTCTACGCAAAACATAACAAAAAAACGTTGATGATATTTAGATATCTAAGTAAGACCCTGAGACGAAATACCAAAGTGCGAATGGCACATCTCGGCCTTTTCGAAACCAAAGAAGGCGAGGATATGCAAATTCGAAGAGAGTTGTTTTGTCAAGACATTTCCGCTATCTGGCTGCTGCTTCCGCTATCTTTGCATTCTTTGCATTTGCCAACCCTTCGCAGCTACACGCCTTTGAGCTTCCAAGAATTCCTGGTGAAGCACAACGGAACTGCACAACAGCAGCTAACCTACAATTCTGATCTAGCTTCAGTTAACATTTTTTTGTTGCTGTCGATCGATGTCCCACTAAAAAAAAAATTTGGTCTCATCAACCTGCGATCGAAAATGACAAGAGTCCTAAATTCACTGAAACAAACTTAGCGTATGCTAGAGTGATTATGTTTGTGTAATTATAGTGCTAATTAAGAGTGCTAATTAAGTTTTTACTCCACAAGACACTTCACTTAGTGTATAGTGTAAAACTTAAGTGAGAGATCAACCTAAAGACAGGATAAGTAAATAAAGATAATAGTAAAGCAAATAAAGATAATAGTAAAGCAAATAAAGATAATAGTAAAGTAAATAAAGATAATAGTAAAGTAAATAAGTAAGGTAATAAGTAAAGTAAATATACATAATTATTCTAAAATTTTATTTTGTAATTTTATTCGAATCGAAAGCAATTTGGGTTCTTGTGTGACAAGATGGGATTAATCTTTCAAATTCTATTAATGTTGTCCACTTAACAATTTTAATTTTGAGCAATTACTTTATCATTAAGTTTTCAATTTTATTCTTTAGGTTCTTCATGGTCTTTTATTTTCTTTTTTGGACCTAAAAACAACGTTTGTTTATTTATATACAGGTCAATTGATACACGACACCGTGCTCAATCAGTATCGTCTTTTTAACACCATCCTCTTTAGAAAAATTGTCAAAAATAAAGACAGTTGAAAGTCACAGCAAGGGATCGAACGTTTGCATCACAATGATGTGGATGATTGATACAAACTCGGCTCCCGGCTCACACGGACCACAGCGATAACGTGAAATATAATCAGTGGTAGACAAAACATGGCTTAGGATTCTTTTGCAGTCGAACTAACCGTGGGAGGTTTTGTGGAATTTTTATCCATGTAACGCAAATGCTGGTTAGTTTCATCAAGAAGCTCTCAATGAAGGTTAGTTTGTCCCATTGCTTGATCCAGGAGTTCCCTTGCCTTCTGAGTTGGTTTCAAAATTAAAAGAAGCAGGCATTTGAACATTGATAGTCGCATACTCTGAATTAAGTCGTCTGTTCAAAGCTGAAAATAAAAGGAAATTAACCCTCTAGCAACTACGAAAGAAGAACGCTATCGAAATTTGTCGAATCGCAGATGAGGAAGGTGTGATGAAAAATCTCAAAACTAATTTGACGATAGCGAAAGCGTTCTAAAATTTTTCTTCGCTTAATAGCTTTGCAACTGTTAATGTCTATACATTTTGTATTCATTATCGAGAAAATTTCTAAAATTAAACATTTGTGGCTCGCATTAAAAAAAAATCTCAATTTAAAAGTTGTTGCTATGCAAAAGTCTAATTCAGTTAAGAAAAAGACGTTAGTAATATATATAGGCACGATGGAGGACTTGTCTTCCATAAACAATTAGTAGATGCAAAAAATATCTTACAACGGGCCCTACGAATATAGGGTTCAGATTTTCCATAGTGTTGGAGAACAGTACAGAGGTTCCTGTTAAAGGGATACGATGCTTACTGTTCTCAGCATAAACATAAAAATTACCATTACAAATAAAACTTTATTATTTTATTTTTTAGTACAACTCTATTATTTTATTATATTTACATTATTGTTAGAGTTGTTAGACATTATTGTTAGACATTACAAAAGCTGATCAAAGTGCGAAATTGGGAAATTTTTAACTCTAAAAGCATCATGTTATATAAGTTATATAATTTTTCAATCCTGAAAGCAAATTTCAAACAACAGCATACAAATGGTAAGAAAAAACTTTTTTAACATCCGTAAATAGCATAAGGTTTTTAAAAGCAATATCCAATTATGACAGAGCATGTAATCAACAATACATTAAAGACAATTGCATAAGCTCCACTGCATACATCTTTGTATATATCTTTTAAATCATCTTCTATGGATTTAGCTAACAATTCTCCATCTTTGCCACAGACTTTTCTGCTAGCATCAGCAGTACATAGAAAAATTTTCGGTCCCCTAGAAAAAAAATCAGAAGCAAAATCTGTATATACATAATAGCCTTACGTAATCCCAGAAAAATGGCCGAATTTGTGTTAGTGAACTGAATTACTTTACTGAGGTTATTTGTTCTTAATGTAGTTTGTATACTTACCTGTACCCTTAAATTGATCACACTGTAAAAAATTGAGAATCAAATTACGGTATAAAATGACAGTACTTTGGGTGCGTCATCTATAAAATTCATTTTTACCGTAAAATATAATCTACCGTAATTTTGTCAGTAATATTTATTTAATTAGGGTGCTTTAATAATTTCACGATAATTATTACTGTGAAATATTCGGTGTGTCAGATTTTCGTTCCATAACATGTTCCGGTAAAAAAGGATTACGCGGAGTGCCTGTACTGATTACCATAATTTAATCCGTGTTTTTTTAAGAGCACGAATGATCACTTTATCCGAACTGGTGGAGAAATAAGCATTTTATTTTCAATAACGTGGGCTTTCTAAAACTGAATCATAAGAAGCTACGACATTTATTGAAACTTAATACTGACTACTGATTACTATTGACATTACAATAACTTTATGAAAAAGAATATCAGAAATTCGCGTTATCTTACGGTTGCTACTTTAATCTAATTTGTCCTTACAAATATATTTACAGAATTACATTAACTTCATGCATTACATTAGCATCACGTGATATTTTTGGCAGTAGCTAAAAGTGAAGACCATAATAACTTTCACCTCAATTGCTTAACTGAATGTCATAATAACTTTCGCAAATTAATAATAAAAAGACAATTAAGATTACGCACAAGTATGAACGATATACAATTAAATTGAGATTATTGAGACTTTAAAAAAAACCTTTTATTACTTTTGTGCATATGACAGCTAAATATATTACTTAATATTTTTGTTAAATGAAGATCACGCCATGTGAGTTACCTATCCAATGAGAATGCTTGGTCAATTGTACTAAGAGATTGTACTAAGCAATTACGCAAGGAAAATTGAATATATTAAAAACAAAAGTTTTAAAATTAAATTTTTTAACTCATAAGGCTGTACAGTAAAACCATGTCAAGTGTTATACTCGTATTAAATATAAACAAGAACTCTTCATGTGTCTGTAATTTATTGAAAAATGAAAAACCTTGAAAAAACTAGTACAAAATGTCATCAATAAATGGCGCTGCAGTATTCGCGAAACATAATTTGAAGAAACAGAGCAGGAGCATATACAAATAGCTTTTGTGAAAGACAATAATTATAGAAAGACAATGTTAAACACGTACAAATTTTTTATTTCATCTTTTAATTTTAATAAATCATTAGCACTTAATCTGAAATGTCTGTTTTTCAAATGACTCCTCATTGCAGCCAACAAACCTTACCCTTTGAATGAGGAAAGTATAATTTCCAAAATCTTGTACCTAAATAAGATAAAAAACGAATATCTAATGATTGCTACTTACTTGCATAAAATTTCTAAATCTCCATCTTCAATGTGTTTGTGATCTTGAACCGGTAAACATTTGTCAAACTGTGATACGTGGTTTTCTATACATGGAACTATTTTCAAATACACTGTATTTGGAATAAAATGTTTGATTACTTGATTTAAGTATAATCAATCATTTAGCATTTCATAAGAATTTAAAAAATTTGTGAAGAGACATATTTCAATTTGCACAATTTGGTACTCAGAGAGCAATAAGAAGAAATATAGAAGGGGAATCATTGATAAGTCTTAGAAGGAAAAAAAAAAGAAATTTGAGAGCAATTAACCCAGTAGATTCGCTAAAGGTTTATCTTGAACGGCTTATCTTGAACATAATTCTTTATTTTTAATGTCACTAATGCTAAGTCTATGGAAAAAAAATAAGAAATTTAAGGACATTTAACACAGTGCAATTGATAATGGAACCCAATACAAATACTGTTAAGGCCACTAATACTAAGCCTATGGAGCCAAATTGAGCGTAACTAATATAGAACATTGTGACTCAAATTCAACGGTTAATTTGCATTCTCCTAAGAATAATAAAGTTTTGAAAATGATTCAATGAAATAATAAAGTCGTCAAAATAAAGATTCTTCACACACCCGCACAAAAATCCACATTGTTAATTTAAAAGTTTGACATTCAAAAATTAGTAAACGTTGGAAACAATTAGAGAAGTCCAATTCTAACAATAACAGTTTTCTTTTTTATTTAAAAGAAAAGAAGAAAAAATCATTTTCTTTCTACTAATTGAATAAAAAGTTCATTAAAATCAATTCACGACTTTCTCAGATAATCCAATCATTATATAATTTTGCTTTTCCACATAGACTTTTAGTAACAGTAGCCAAATTTCAAATAGACTGTGTTAAATCTTCGTTATCAAACTTTCTCGACAAAAGAGTTTTCATCTACGAAAAAAGCTTAAATAATTAGGATATTGACTAGTTAATCGTACAGTATGTTAAATAGACTTTAAATAGCTTTTATAAAATGTATAAGTATAGCTTTTTTTGAAACTTCTTCTAAAATCAAAGAAATCAAAAAACAAAGTCTGAGGGAAACAAAATCTTATTAAAGTGGTAAAAAAAAAAAGAAGAAAGGTCCCAAAATCAGAAATAGGAATCCTCCTAAAAAGGCAAACCCCTTTATAGGAGTGACATCTAAAGAAAGCAATTACATTTGAACGATACTTTTTTGCACAGTATTAATCTTTGTTCAACGTTTCTGCAGATTTGTATTACTTACTCGGGCGTCGATCTGTCCCTGGTTGGCATTTCAGAATATTCAACAAACTAGCAAATGTGGCTGCTTTCAGAGGATATTTTTTCTTACAATCAGCAGCAGCATTTTCTAAGCATTTGCCATCTTCTTCAACTCTCCTAGTTTTCAATAGAGTGTTATGTTTTAATGTGCAACGGATTCTCTCCCTCCCTACATATATAT